CTCCCCACTGCAAATTCTTCTCCCTTCTTCAGATGCTACTTACCAGTTCCTAGCCACTGTGGTGGTGGATTCGGAAAGTTCCTCACTGATTGTGAAAAGTACTAGTTGGAAGTAGGGTAGTGGTGACATTGCCTGTGTAGTGCAGTTCACCCCTCAGATAACTAGTGTGCCTCCTTCTGCACCAAGAGTCTGTCCAGTGCAATGTGATTGCTGCCTAGTCACACTACACTTCTTGGCTCATTAACCACTTGTGTGGCTAATCACTTTCTCATAACCAATTTCTGCCTATCCCTGTGACACTTGGGAATCTTTTTGCTTTTCCCTGTTTCCTTCTGAGCTAAGAGTAACCCAGGTTGAGATAAAAACTTCAGTCACCAAACAAATATCAAACATCAGGGCACAAGTCATAAGGTGGGTCATTATAGAATTTGCCCTGATTTTTTGAAGTATTTGCAGAATTAAGGTCCAAATTGCATTGGGGGCGCACACACTATCCAGTTTAACCTCAACTTTGCTGAACACATGTGCTAAGAATAGAAAGAAAAAATAGATGTGGATGCTCTAGCCCACAACATCACACATCTTCACCACCTTTTGCTGTCTGCAGCCAAATGTGGAAAGGTAGTTGCTCATGAAAAAGAAATAGATAAAATATAAACAGTAATAAAAAAGAAATAATTAGAATACAATACATCAATGGGGGAGACAGCAAAAGTGTCTTTAAAGTTAACATTCCAGCCCATAATATGATCGTTGGACACAAATACCAAGTTGTTTGGACATTATTCTACTAAGCCCAACTTAAATTATTAGTATAGCTTCTTTCCTCCACCCTTGCATGCTGCTATCTGGATCTTCAGCAGTTGTAAAGAGATCCACATAGTAGCAGGTCTTATACAGGGAAGGTGATGCTACCACATTCATCCACCTATATAAGATATTAAATGTCCAAATAGGTAATTCCAATTATTTCCCTTACAATAAATGTTAGGAATTAGTTTTTATTGTGTACAAGTTTTTTAAATTACTGTTTTCAAATGTATATAAATACTTTTTGTATGTGTTGTAAAGTGATTTAAAACATTTAATTCAAGTTTTCTCATCAAATCCATTAATAATCAATTTATGTTTTAACATATTAATATTAGATATTAAGGACTGTACATTGCTACAAATTTTACAATACTTAGAAAGCTGTGAATGTATAATACTCTGTCTGATATTTGTTGGTACATTACTGTTTGGAGAGGGAAGTCCAGAAATTTGAAATGTGAAATCATTTCTTTCATCATAAATATTGATATTATTATACTTATTAATTATCTTAATATCTGAATAATGTGCTTCAGTATCTTGTATAGAAGTGTTCTCGATCTGTAGAACTGTAGATAAATGTTACTAATATAATTACTTATCACTGGATTATTAATACTAATTGAATCATCAATATATCTTTATGTTAAGGAAAATAATTCCAGATTTGGAAAATTATTTATAAGTTTATTTTGGTGATGATAAAGACATAAGTGAGCAACATAGCTTGAATAATTAAAACTCATTGATATACCTACTTTTTATATATAAATGTGCTTATCAAAATGAATATAATTATTATATATGTAAAAACTGAATATGTTTTTGATGTTATTAATATTATTATTTACTGCAAGCACATTATTTAGTTTTAGATATTAGATAATAATTATAGTAATATTTATGATAAAAGAAATGATTTCCCTATATAAGACCTGCTACTTTGTGGATCTCTTTAGAATCATTGGAGATCTAGATAGCAGCATCAAAGGGTACAGGATGGGAGCTATACTAATAACTTAGGCCGCGCTAAGTATAGTAATTCCTTAACATCTTGGTATTTATGTCCAACCATCATATTAGGGGCTGGAATGCTAACTTCAAGGACAGTTTTGCTGTCTCCCCTATTGATGTCTTTTATTCTAATTATTTCTTTCTTATTATTGGTATTACTTTATTTATTTATATTTTTTGTTAACAATAACCTACCCACATCTGGCTGCAGACAGTGAAAAGTGGTAAAGATGTGGGACATTATGGGCTAGAGCACCCACATCTGCTCCTTTTTTTTTTCTCTTTTTTTCTCTATCTCTTTTAAGCATATGAGGCTGGCAAAGTTGAGGTTGAACTGGACAGATGTTGGATTCCCAATGTAATTTGGGTCTTACTCCCATTGTTACCTCAAAAAAAACCAGGGCATGTTACATAATGACTCACCTTATTATTTGTGCTTCATTGTTGGATGTTTATTTTGTGGCTGGAATTTTATTTTCTCTCTTTCTTTCTATTCATAAAATTACATTTAATTATATATATATATGTGTGTGTATATAATGCAAATTCACATGCATATATACACTTCTCAATGCAATTGAAGGATAATAAAAGTTTTTAAATTATAGCAATATCAAGACCAAAACTACTGTTATAGATAATGCCATTTATCCAACTCATTTCGTTGTTATGAAAATGATGTAACTGATGATCAGTTGTGTGATCTCAAATGCAATTGATTGATTGTTTGGCCTATTAAGACACACAGTAGTGTGTCGTGTGGCCAAGATAATCTATCGGACACACTGTGTGTTATTAACAGGAGTAATAGTTCAGCTATTTTCCACTTTTTTTAGCTCAGACTGTGTTAATCCAAACTATCACATATTTTCAGTGGATGTGCTCTACTGAACCCTTACTTCACACACCAAATTTCAAGGCAGTCGATTAAGAAATACATTAGTTAATGAATATTTGTTGTAAAGTTATTATTAATGCTGTAACTATAGCGACCACTTTGGTCGTTAATTTTGATTTCATTCCTTTAAGTCACATGCTCAATCCTTTTTTGGCCGTACCTTTTTTACACCTAAGGTGGTTTTGATTAGATACTTATTTACTGGTTTCGTGCAGTACTGTCCCAGCTGATAATGATACTAATGCTGATGTTTTTTAAGCTCCAGACTGACTTAGATTCAGTAATGATAAATAAATATTCCTTTACTAGTAGTATTGTAAAGAAGGATATGTTATACATTTGATGCAGATGTATTTTAAGTTTCATACAATACATGTGTGTTAATAGAAACTTTAATGTGGAAGAAAATAACATTTTACAGATTAATAAGTCTGATGTGAAAAATATTTTTGTGTAATAACCAGTCTGGACATTTGATCAGCATCTCCAATTAATTTAGTTGTCTTATTCACAATAGACAATTCATGCCACATCACTTCAGAATCTGTTTTTGTTTTAATTTGTAAATGAATTATCATTATTCCTGAACTCCATACACTGTAAGACATCAAACCTAATTGAGCAATTGTCACTTCACCCAAATGTTTCCCAGTCTTCACCCTGTCAGCCATTTTTGTATTGGAAATTAAAAATCTAAAATAACATTGTTCCTAGTAGGCTCCCCTTACCAATTGGTGAAAGTATTTAAGTTCAGAGGATTATTTTCTACCCTGAATTTAAACTATAGTACAAACTAAAAACCATTGCAGCATCCTACAATTTGTATAATTGTAGACTTAAGTATGTAAATTTAAAAAAAATAGTGCTATAGTCTTTAGTTCTTAGCAGTGCTAACACCCATTTAAGTTGAAAGCCATACAATGCTAACTAAGAAAGACATGATTGAAATTATTATTAGCTGTTACTTCTGAAGTTTAATCACACCAACTATCAATCAACATATTATGCTATATCAGCTTATACATTATACACCTGTAAACTTGTTATTGATATTAATAATATTTTAGCTGAAGCTTTGTGTTGTAATCCTCCTAACCTTATGAGCTTTGGTATAGGCCAAAGGCCTTGTCAGCAGTAGTGTACACTATAAAAAGTGTGCAGGTTTGAAATGCTATTACATATTCTTACAAGAAACTCATGTAATGAAAGTTAAGAAAGATGTGATTTAAATTGTATTACGTTACATATTAGAATTTCAAATAGTTCAAAGCCAAGTTAACTGATAATTTAAATTGAGTAATTAAATTGTACTTTGGATTTAGTATTTAAATAAATGCCAATATATAGTCAGTTTGCAATATTGGCCAACAAGATTGATACACACAGTTTTCTTTTTTAACACAAATACGTTTTAATATATATACAACAATATAATTTACAATAACAGTTATTACAAATAGTTATCACAAACAAATATTCATAAACAAAAGTTTCACAAACTTACAAACAATATAAAGTTTTCTTTCTAGTCTGTAACCTCCTTGATATCTTATCGAGGATCCACGATTAGTGAGTTAATTACGAGTTGATGTAGATACGATCAACTGGGAAGCTAGCTAGCTTTGTCCTTGGCCACACACACTAGATTTTTCCACGATTAATTTATATGTCTTCGTAAAATTACTAATGTCCAATGAGAATTCACTGAAATTCAATGATTTGTAACGTTCGAAATTTAAAAATATTCCTGGTCAAATATCTTAAGTTTTCCAATTGATAAGTGTTATAAAAATCACAGTTATAGCTTTTGAAAATTTTATAGCACACTGATTATAGCGAACTAATAATAGACACTCACTTTGGTGTGTTGTGATGATTATATTTATAGCCGTGGGAAGGTTTTCTAGAAACTTCAGTCTTACGTAACAATACTGGTTAAAGCATTTACATATATAGATATATTGTTGATTCTTACTCTCAAGAATCTTCTACAATTTTGGACAATAGGTGGGAGTTTAGCAATACCTATCTAACAGTATAAGCTATGTATGTTTCTAAATATAAACTTAATCTAAACAACGTTCATATTAAAAATAAGTACATGACAACAAATTTGTTACAATTGTTATTGGCTTACTGTCATTGTATTACATCAAATATACTTTTTTTTACTGAGCATTTACTGTTTAGTCTTTCAACTGACATTCTGTAATATCGTGTAATCTTGTTTTATTGTGTGAAAACAGGTTTCTCTTAGATGATTTTCTCTTGACAGTATCAAAGAACTTCAACCAAACTTGTTATATTTTGCTGTTTTTGATGGTCATGGTGGAACAACATGTGCTGATTTTTGTAGTCAGCACATGGAGCAACATATTCTTCATTGGCTGAGCAGGAATAGTATGGACTTAGAATCTGTTCTGCAAAAAGCATTCATTGAAGTCAACAATGCATTTGCTCGTAATGTTATTTTCATGTGTTCAAGTAAGTAAAAATAATTTTATATCAACTCTACTAAGAAATAGTTACAAGAGATATTGTAGTATAAGAAAAAATATTCTTTGGATGTCATGAAGATTCTTTTCACTAAACACTCTAAAAACATTAGGATGTTACTAATTTCTAGATTTTACAAAGAAGTAAAGATAATAAAAAATGTTCGAACAGTATAATCGAGATGAAGATAAAAAAAAAAATGTGTGTCCATTTGTTCTTATGTTCAACATTCCAAGTACTTTTTATTTTTTAATCCATAATTAATGTGTATGGCATGTATAATTTTTAAAGTTGATAAAGTGGTCTAACAAATTAGACATGAACCCCTTTCCATGTATTATAACACACATAATATTTCATGACTGGCTTGTGCTACTAATTCATCTATTTTATTCTAATAATATTTGAAAGAACTATCTTATTGTATAGTAATATGCTTAATATGAAACCAAAGGAAAAAATATTTACAAATTGTGTGGAAGTTAACTTCAGGCACCATAGTAATACAGAAAATGATTGATAATGTAGGTTTTTTTAATAAATACCATGATGTACAAATACATGTGCCTATTACAACTTTTTTTTATAAATACAGTGCATGTGTGCTGTGATATCAGTAGATTTGTAGTCAGTGATGGCATTACACACAGGAACTTGTTTTAGGCTAGTTTGGCTATTATATGTCGGAGGTGGAATAAGCTGGTGTTTATAATAACCTCTTGATTTGAGTTTTTGTTAAAGTTTTGAAATGTGCTTTGTTCAAACTCAAGTGATAGATTAGTCAACCACATCACGTTTCATCTATTACCATCAGTTAATGTAGAATATAACACCATTCATGTTTAAAAAAATAAACAAATGTCCTGTGGGTGCTCTTCAATGTTGTATTGCCCATACAGCTTCCATCTGTGGTGCTCCTCCCATTTCTGTATTCCATGCTTACCATCCTCTGTGATGTTTCTCCTCTCACCCTCACCAATTAGGTTTGGCTTTTGTTTTGATTGGGTGATTCCTCTCTTACAATGACTTCCCATACTTTCTTCCAGGTGTTTTCTCATCAAATTTGACACCTTATCTTTTCTCTGGAATCTCATCTTCATTGTCAGAGGAAATTCTTCAGAAGGCATGTGGACTACACCTCATACATTTATCTCCCTTTATTTAATCTATATTGTTGTTTTTTCTTTGTCGGGTTCCTGCCTTCCACTTGTGCCCATTTTTCCCGATTTAGTGCAACTTTGACTGGATAAGTTTATATTAATACTTTTCCTTTCAGGGGCCCTTGCTTCATTTCTCATTTTATGGATCTCGCTCTGTGGCGAGTGGTTGCCTGACCAGGTATTCTTTAACTCTAAATCTGCACTGTCAGCCATGTTGACTCATGCTCTCTTGTCCATGGCTCACACACTCACCATCAAGATGGGGTGGTCCACAAGATTGCTTGACAGTTAATTACCTCATGATAAGTTGCTTCATAAACATGCCCGTTCTGGACCGTACCACCCATGGGGATTGCTGCCCATCCTTGCCATGCCTCAAGTGAATAACTCAGTATGGTTTACTTTTCAAATAAGGTTTCGTGGTCACCCATTGATCTGTCTCCATTGATGACATTCCTCTGAGCTCTCCTCTGCACTGTCGCCCTCCTTCCCTCGTGTTATGGGGTAGTTAACCATAAAGTCACCCTCCTGAATGTGTTCCACATGGAAATGATTAGAACCATTCAGTTGAGAGTAAGGCAGTGGTGTTTTGCTGGTGTAGCTTCCAGAGGAGTTGAGCCATCACCTTGCTGGTTGGCATGGCCTCCTGACACCATTTATACAACATCTGGAGTTGAACCGTCACCTTCTGGTTAACGTGGCCTCTTGATACTTATTACACACTCACTGGAGTTGAGCCATCTCCTTACTGGATGATGTGGCCTCCTGACACCATTTATACAACCACTGGAGTCGAGGCATCACCTTCACAGATGATGTGGCCTCCTACTAACACTTATACAACATCTCGAGTTGAACTGTCACCTTCTAGTTGATGTGGCCTCCTGATACTTATTACACACTCACTGAAGTTGAGCCATCTTCTTACTGGATGATGTGGCCTCCTGATACTTATTACACACTCACTGAAGTTGAGCCATCTTCTTACTGGATGATGTGGCCTCCTGACGCCATTTATACAACCACTGGAGTTGAACCGTCACCTTTTGGTTGACGTGGCCTCCTGATACTTATTACACACTCACTGGAATTGAGCTGTCACCTTCCTGATTGATGTGGCTTCCTAATACTATTTACACAATGAAGGGAGTTGAGCCATCACCTTACTGGATGACATGGCCTCCTTATGCACTCTACATAAACACTGGAGCTGAGCCGTTGCAATTGCAGTTCACCCCTTTGATTGGGAGATCTCATCCTACCTTTGTGTGCAAGTAGGTTCCCAGTGTAGAGGGTTTAGATTAGAGTGAACCAATCAACATAAGTCCTTACATGAGTACAGGTTTGTCCATCTTCCTTCCCCAATTGCTCCGTCTGTGTCTTTGGTCACAGCGGGAGTATGTAGGATTCTTCCAGTACTATCCTTAACAATCCCTCATTCTGTTCTTACGGGAATATTATTGCTTTTGGATGGTGCTGGCCTGTGCCATGGTTTGGGGAGTCGTTACCGGATGTCAATTCCCAGATTGATAGATCAGTGATGATCCTCATGGCATACTCAGATATCAGTGTGGGTCTTAATCTCCAGTTCTTGGGTTTGAGGTGAAGATGGTATGATTCATATCCTCCCCTCGTGTGGATGTCGGTACCCAAGAGGAGGTTTTAATGTAGTTGGCTTACCGAGTATGGTCCGCCACACCCTATCCACTCTACACTTCACAGTTTCCACCCTTGTATATTACATAACCTACACATGAGCAAAGAGTATACCTGGCTCAGAAGTGATGTGGTTCTCCTTATCTGATCTTTGGATCTATATCTCTCATTGTCAGGGGTATCCTTTGGACACTTTCAGGGATACTTCTTTCGTTCCCTCCTTCTTTTCAATGTGGGATTCTAGCTAATCTTGTGAGTGGAGGGAAGTACCGAATTGGAAGTTATAATTTTCCCATACTGAAAATATATTTCTGATAAGTACTTCCCTCTATTCACACTTATCACCCTTCCTTCCCACTTTTCCAGTGCTTATACCTTTTGCCAAACTTCGAAGTGAAGGTTCGGTAAAGGAGTGTAGAGAGAGTCACATGCGAACATGTCATGCTACTATTGGTTAACCTTTCCATTACAGGCTGGGTGGAATCCACCCAGCTCATAACCACAAAAGTATCCATGAGAGTAATTATACTATGATTTTTCATAATGTAAGCATATCTTTACAAAATTTTGTATGTTATTGGTAAACATTACAAGGTTTTAGTACACAAAATATCACGTTTTTAAATTAAGTGTTAAGATTCTTTAATTAAAGATTTTCTCGAAAACCTTTTTCTTTCAAAATGTTGACTAACCAACATGCAAAGCAATTTTGATTTTGAGATTAAAAATATTTTAATGCATTAGAACATTTTCAAATTTCACATGCGAAATCTTTATAATCTCCAGATAATTATAAAATTTTTTGTTTAAAAAAACTATATTTTATTTGTTATTTTTGCTAGCATATTTTTGTACGAGTTGGTTTGATATGACCAATTTCGTAACCTCAATAAAAAAATTAGGAAAAAAAAATATAAATTATGATTTTTTCATTCTAGAATGACTACAAATTATAACACGCAAACACAAAATTTTAGTCTAAATAGCTTAAATCTCATAACATTATACATTTAAATATATTTATTATTGTTATTATATTGACCTTCCAAATGTGCCTGGCTAACAATACAGAAGTTCCAATGATGCAGTGCACGTGCACTCGTGTTACTGTATCCAATAATATATAACTGACCTTTAATCTTTACAAAGTGACCTGTCTTGGCTGTGTTTCAGTGAACTAGTACTTTGTAAAACACAGTCACATTTCAACTATTATGCATTATATATCTATATACATTATTTCTATTTGCAAATAAGCTCTTAAAACTTATTTTTTTAAAACATAGAATAGTAAATAAAGTAAAGCAAACAATTATCTCATCTAGTTACGACCTTTGTATTCGTTTGCCGTCTTTTTGTAGGTTGCTAAGCCTTATGAAATTTCCTACGTGGAGGATGTAAAAAGAATTTTTTAGGTTTTTATATATACATTTTTAATTAACCAAAAAATCATAAATTACTATATCAATACCATAAGCTATCAAGCATAGTAACTAAGCTGTATTTGGTTGTAAAAAAATATGAAATTTCAAGCTCACTAAAGACTTGCATCATCGTTTGAAATCTTGTGTGAAAAGAATGAAATTAGCACAATAACATGTCAAAATGGCTGCACAAACCACTAGGGGACATTCTGAACTTTTGATTGGTTATTCATGTCATACATAGAAGTAAGTGTATATAAGGGACCATTTCCAAAAATGAAAAGTGGGCAGAGGGGCCACTGTGTTTGATTCAGTACAGGAGCAATTTCTTAGGAAATAGAAAAGATAAGAAGCTCTTATTTTATATTCTAGCTGGTCAGTATCAGTAGTTTGAGTTCCTAATTCATACGAAACTGTATATTTTGTATTTTGACATCACAAACATCTAATGTGAACCAGTGCTGCATTCAACATACCATGTGACACACAAAAATCGATGTTTACCTGTTTTTTTTAATATTTACTTTTAAATTAAGAAATTAACCAATTTATAATACTAAAATTTGAATTATAATCTAAAATTTGATACCAAACTTATTGACATAGATTCATAAAATAGTAGTTCAATAAATTTTGAATGCAAGTCAACAAACGTGATGACATGACCTTTGACGTGTGACCCGTTGAGATAGGGTTAAGAGATGACGCATAGTGATTTGCATAAGAGATATGTTTGAATATACTAATT